TCCTATAATATATTATATTATAAATAATTTTTGTCTCTTGCAGTTTTTCTGTAAAGTTGATGGTATTATATTTGAGTAAAAAATTATTCAAGACTAATATTTTGCAATTTTTAGTAATTAATATCTTGTTAACTATTGCGAAAATTGCAAAATGGTAGAGGACTTTTCGACTCAGTTTAATCCGCTCTATGAATACAAAAGTGATTGGCAAAAAAGATCGGGATACCCTGTACAAGAATACGCCGAGCGGCCGAGAAGATACATTTTCGGTTTTCGGTCGCTTGTAACGAGCGACTAGCAGAGAAAGCGAGACAACGAGATAGAGCGGCCCGAGGAGCGGCCGTCCTTTACCCGCATGTGTTTACGATTTACTGGTAGAGCCATGATAAAAATACAAGGGTATGCTCATCAATTGTCTAAAACTCGTTCAGCTTGCGCATGTCCTTGCTTACGTCATATTCGGGTACGCGTTGATTGGTCGGTTCTGATTCGGGTGCAATCGGTGGTTATCGGTCGTAATTTATCATGGCGTCCATGGCGTAGTGCACGTTGTCATCGGTAGAAGTTAATGTTAAAAATATTTTCACGATGACCTGCATAGTGAAAGGATGCGGCAATTATATGAAAAAAACAAAAAAAACTGAGGGAAGTAAAATTAAATATTTTACCTTTCCAAAACAATCTGAAATTGCTGAACAGTGGCGTAAGCCACTCGTTGTGACGTAAGCAAGGACAAAAATCTGATTGGTCATGCGCATGAGCATACCCTTGTCTTTTTATCATGGGTAGAGCGAAAAGAACGGGCGCTGCCTCTCGCTGCCTCGCTCGCTCTCGCGGCTGACTCGATGCCGGTAGGTGGGGGTAAAAGTGGTGGGGCTGGATTCCGTGTTGCCGGGGAGCCAAATGTGCATCACTGGTCGAGGAGTGAGTTAGTCGAAACCGTTCGGAGCGGCAGGATAAGCGCGAGATCGAGTGAGGCTACCCTCCAAAGGACGTGAAGGGGTTTCGAGCGGGACCGTTTTAATCGCGGGCCGGAAAGTCAAGGGCGATAAAGCGAACGGGAGCTCACCTCCACGCGGATAGTCAAGTGATGAGTAAATACCGGAATTACGGGAATTGTGAATAATAAGCGACGTGCGTATCTGGCGGAGCATCCCAGAGCGGCGTTATTTGAATAATTGTGAAATGTTTAATAAGTGATGTGCGTATCTGGCGGAGTATCCCAGAGCGGCGTTACGCGGATAATTGTGAAATGTTGATAAAGATGCTTCGACTAATAAACTATTATTGTGAATTTCCTGCAACATAAAGACTTATTTTTCAATGAAACCTTTCCCTCTACGAGTAAAGGAAGTCGGAGTAAGCCGATCACATAGCGCAAGGAAGTGGAGATACTGACGACCAATTAACTCAACGAAGAATACCTTCTCCTTTGGAGGTCAAAAGGAGTGGCGACCGTGGTACATTAATTATTCAGGGACCGAACGATAAGTAGAGGGCTTCGAGTTCGGTTACAATATATCCTGAAAGGCCGCATCGCCACGAATAATTTGAGCTAAAAAAATTTTTAATCGGTCAAGCCGTTTTGGACATACGAGTGGTTGAAAAGTGATGATTTTCATGAAAAATGAAGTAACGTCTTCTCCTTTTCTGTCCGCAATCACATGCACCTCTCTTGTCTTTCACCTTTCACTCACACCTTCACCAACTTCGACCAACTCCACCCCCTCGCGCCATCCCTTCTCCTTCTCCACCACTCACCCCCAATTTTTCGCCCTATCTCACTTTCTTTCGTCCTCTCTCACCCCCTTTCGTCATCTCTCACCCTCGCCTGCTGAAAGTGTCTGATGGTCACTCAGGGTTGTGACCTTGACATTGTGAGTGAAGGTCGTACGAATTTTTTGGGATAACTTTGTAATGCGTGATGGGTGACTGCTACAATCTTCGGAAGGTTGTTCGATGTGATGACCTTCATAATGTGTGGGAGAGTCAAGATCATCGGAGATCAACTGTCCATTTTAATTTTTTTGGGCAAGATTTGGGTTCTCGTCCATCTTGACAGTTTGCACTGATTGTATTAATTCAGTATTTTGTCCGGATGCAACAATTGTTTCAAGACATGACTCAAACATATTTGGAATTGCATTACATTTCAGGATTCTTTTACCATCACTTCGTGGTTTTTCCCACATTTCCGGTGAAAAATGAATCTGAAATATAAAAAATAATATTCATTTCATATTATATAAGATATTCAATATAAGCTGATATTTAGAAGAGTAGTTTAAAGTATCTTTAGATACTATACAGTTCCTTTCATTGACTGCAAAGAATCTGAAGATAGTTTAATCTGAATTTCAAATAGTCTAATCTGAATAAATATAAGATTTGACTATGAATAGTGGCCTATAGGAAATTGGCTGTTAAGTAAATGTAAATATCATACCTCACAAATACAGCTACAATCCGTGGGTACCCAATTCGCTCGTGGAATAATCGCTGCCCATTGAGCCCTTCTGTCTGGATTTCTTGGGAAATGTTTCATCATAAATCCTTTAGCAGCCGAATTTTTACATTTTGGCAACCAGCAGCCTGGCATTGTTATCTAGATGTTACCTATAACTATAATTGTTTACTTATGCGTTATAAAGTCATGTACACTATAGGTTAGGAATATGCCTACGTTACAATATTTTCAATTACCACATCAATTTTATAACTTATACAACATAATATTTTATAATAATATTGAATCATTATTACCTAAATTTAGTAATTTGTACTTACAACATGTACAAGTATCACATATATCACATATGGTGGTCACTGGTCCGCCATATTCTTGCAAATGCTCGGAGTTCGCGCATCTCTTACTTGAGGATCTCTAGTTCTGAGCAGCTTATTAGCTTTATTTTGTGAATACCTAGAGTTCCTAATACATAAAAAACAATTTTGACATACAACAAAATTTATTTTAAAAAATTAAAAAATTTTGAAAAAATTATACAATAGTTATGTCACATTAATTGTCGTTCTGTCTATTTCGAAGAGTTCTAAGCGATTAAAATCAACACAGACCCAAAAATAAAAGAGATATGTACTTAAAACAAAATTTGAAAAATTGGATGCAATAGCACATATCTCCTTATGTAGCTATCCAATATCATTTTCACCTAATACTTTTCGTTAGAGCTCGTCGAGAACTGCCTAGAACGCCGATCAGAACTATTCAGTACTCTCAAAAAATTTTCTCAAAAAAAGAGAAAATTTTTTTAGAGTACTCAGTAGTCCAACCATTTTCAATAATACCTGAATTTTCAATAATACCTGAAAATGAATTTCGTAAATATTATACTATTATAATAATTAGATAATTTGCGGAAGGAATGAATTTACACTAACGCGTTGAGGATGAGGAGTAAAAGAATGTACATATAGTGATGAGAAAAAAAATTTTTTTTTTTTTTAAATTACACTTATAACACTAATTTTTTTCTATTTTTTATTATCTTTTTTTTTTTGCGATCGATAGCGTTCGAATGCGATCGATAGCTCGAGCATCGCTAGCAGCGCTTTCTGAAAAAGAGAACAAGAAACTTTTTAATCACTATTCGCTTTTTCAGCGGAGAATAAAATGCATTAGCACTAGTCATTCTAAATGCGATACCTTATGGCTTATATTTTGATTGCGCTGATGATGATGAGGAACACGCTGGCGACTTTGATGTTTTTTCGCCAGGACATTCCTAATATCTCGGGTTTTCCTTCGATGGTGGTGGTGGACTTGGTGGACCTTACTGGAAAGGACCCCTTTCGCTCGGCCGATTTTCGGTGTATATTCTTTTACTCAATCCATGTCTTATCGCTCGTAATCGAAGGTTACGATTGAATGAAAAAAGCTTTGTACACTGTTTATATACACAGTCAGATCGGTGACATGTCGCAACGCGCTAAGAGAAGCGCAGATATTTCGGCTGCTAAACATAACTCTGCTACAGTAAAAAATGAAAGTGAACTCCAGTGAAATGGTACTCCAGTGAAAAATATGAAGAGCCACTCGAGGTGTAACCTTATCCACTTTTTAAAGAAAATGTGACCCAATAGACAAAGGGACAAAGAAGTCACAAATGAAATATATAATAGATTATAAGCACTCAGTTCCACAGTTGACGTTCTGGAAGACGAACGAATCAGTCGCAACAAGAGCAGCGTGAAAAGTATAGCTAATCATCGTGCGAACGTCATGGATATAGCGGACATAGCCGAGAATACTGAAAACGTGTGATTTTACGGAAACGTTCGCGAATATTTGAGATGAAGTGTGTTTATAATAAAAATAGAAGAAGAAAATTTGGAAGTAGATTTTGAGGAGATAATGGACCAAGATTCCGACGAAGAATCCGTGTTATCCAACGATACTGGTTTTGCCAGTGACGCGAGCGAGTACGATACGGATCTTGAAGAAAAATTTGTGCCATCTCCGGAAATCCGTGCACTGAACGGCCGTACCAAAGCACTGCATGATCTAGTGCTATTATACGACGGGTGGTGCTGTAACTGTATGTGCCCCATGCATGGTCCTTTTGTCTGATGTCGACGCTGTGAGAATGCATTTTTTAAGAAAGCACGATATCGATTATATCGATGCGCTAAGCGGCCGGTTTTGCACGAATTGCAGAGTGACATTGTACACTATATTTCCGTGCAACAGATGCCCACAGTGCACAAATTAAAAACTATTGTGAACAGTAATGTGAACAGTATTATGAACGAAACATGGATGTACGGTATACTAGAAAAGATTCGATACGCGTTCTAGGAAAATCCGCGACAAAGAGAGACACAAGTGTGCGAATATCACCGGTGCAATTCCTACGCGATCGAGAGTTAGAAATATGCAGCCAGCGTGTCATGGAACAGGCAAAAATTTGCTGCCAACCCATTCATTCCTGGCCTTTATTCGCACGACAGAAAGTGCGAATGCGGTTATTCAACAAACATTGTGAGAATTATGACTTTGAAAATAGATATAAAACTCGCAGTTTAACAGACAACGACTTTTTTTGTGTGTCGAAAATCGCGATGGAGACTCTTTATCATTGCTACAGGAACATTACGATTCCCGCGAGTGGTGAAAAAATAGCCAATCTGTCGACAGGCGGTGATGCAAGTATGCTAAATTACTACCATAAGACCTACTGCTGGGAGGAAGATCCTGCTTTAAAAGAAAAATATATTTTTTGTGACACGTGTGATGATGAATGCTTTCAGTGTGACTCATGCCGTTCCGCATTAAAAAAGTATCACATGGCGCGAAGGTACTATGCAATTATAGATATGGAGCGGTGGTGCAACGTGTGTGAACAAGTCACATGCAAGTGCTCCGTGGAAAAGTGTGATGCGATCTAAAGACTGTGAAAAAGACATGGAAAATCGCGAGCGAGTGGAACGCGAACTGCTAGGGCAGTGCGGCCAGGTCACTACTCTGGTGGAGTGTTTTGCGTGGCTGCGACGAGTGCATCGAGCGGCTTGAAGAACTTTGTCGTGCCAAGCGTCCGCGCCTCATCGTCGGACACAGACAATCCGTGATGGCGAGGCTCGCGCGACTCGCAGGTGCAAAAACACAATTGGAGCGACGTTTCGTGCACGTTGGTAGTGGGTACGCAAGTGGCGAGTATGCGAGTGGCAACGAGCAATCTCTTGTCTGGAGAGAGATCGACGCCGCGTTTGAAAGCCGTATAGTGACGGGCGCAGTGATAAACTCTAATCACATCGAGCCGTGACGATTTTTGGAAGACGCTGGCAATGTAGTGCTCGAGCGTGTGCGAAACGCTGTAGAAAGACATGGTAGTGTAAAAGTGAACACTGCGTTCAACGGTGAGTTTGCGAATGACAAACGTGCTAATAAGGACATAATTACGAAAAACATTGGGATATATCGATACACCGATTTGCGCGAGTGGTACCAGCGGCACGTTATCGAGCTCACATTGACGTCGCTCGAAGAGTTCCAGGAACGCGACAGCGAATGGGCATTGTCACGTATATTGAATTTGACTATTAACGTGAATAAACTGAATCCAATGCGCGCGGGATGCCATATCGAAGTGCCGCGAGAAATAGCGACGAAACGAGCGGTGATCAGTGTGCATACGATGGACAATGCATGCTTCGCGTGGTCGGTGGTCGCCGCACTGTATCCGGCTGAAAGAAATGCGGAGTGGGAATATTCGCATCTACATTACACGATAGTATTGAATCTCTTATTTACAAGTGCCTTCACTATCTTGGCTCGAGTGAAAAATTACAGACACACGAAGTGGATTGCCAGAAAATCAACAACTGCGCCATCCGCCTGCTGAACGAAAACGACAGATGGCTCCAATTTGGCAACCACTGCAATCAGGAACGAGTACCGTTCGTAGTATACGTCGACCTAGAGTGCGTCCTGCGGAAGACGGAGCCCGAGGAAGACGCGTCATCGTACACTTATCAACAGCACGAGGTATTTAGTATAGGATACTACGTGCGATGTTCGTACGACGACACGTTATCGTCATATCGGTTCCGTCGCGATGAAGATTGCATCGCGTGGTTCACGCGACAACTCAACGATTTGGCGCATCGCGTAAAAGATATCATATCCGCCAACGTGCCTATGGAAACATTGTTGAAAGAACAATGAGAAACGTACCGTAGCGCGACGCGTTGTCACATTTGCGAGAAACCGTTCGCGCCGAACGACACGCGGGTACGCGATCATTGTCACTTAACCGGCAGATACCGCGGTCCAACACATTCAAACTGTAATCTTAATTATAAAAATTCATTATATATTCCAATCGTTTTTCATAATTTATCAGATTACGACGCATACTTTGTAATTAAGGAAATTGTTACCGCGTACGAAGGACAAGTAGATGTGTTACCGATAACCAAAGAAAAATACATTTTGTTCACAAAACATGTCGATAGCACCAAAGACAAAAATAAAAATAATTTTCAGAAAAATTGTATAAAATTACGTTTATAGATTTATTTAAATTTCTCAAGCCTCGACAAATTGGCGTCGTTTCTAAGCAGAGACAAATTAAAAATCGTATGTTCCAAATTTTCAACATTATCGGACGAAGAATTTGAATTACTCACGCGAAAAGGCGTATTCCCGTACGAGTACATTGACTATATCGACAAATTGAATGAGCGATGCTTGCCACCTCGCGAATCATTTTATAGTTCATTGATGGACGATATAGTATCCGAGAGCGATTAGGCTCACGCCGCAAACGTAAGCAGCGATTCTCCATCTGAACGCTCGGCGAGTACAGTGATCTGTACTTGAAAACAGATGTCTTGTTATTGGCTGACATTTTCGAAAATTTTCGTGAAAGTTGTGTCGCGAGTTACGGTCTCGATTCCGCGCATTATTACACCTTCCTGGTTTCGCGTGGGACGTAATGCTAAAATATACTCGCGTAAGATTTGAGTTGCTCACCGACATCGATATGATCATGTTCATCGAGCATGGTATACGCGGTGGCCTCAGTCAACGTTCCGGTAGATACGCGCAGGCTAATAACAAGTACATATGTTCGTGCGACTCATCGAAACCATCGTCTTACTTGATGTACTACGACGTTAACAATTTATACGGATGAGCGATGTGTCAATCATTGCTATACGCCGAATTTCGATGGGTCA